TTCTCTCTGTACGAGAAGCAGACCCCGGAGGGCCCCATCAAGCCCCAGGCTTTGATTGAGAAACTCAGCGATCTCACCGCACCCATCAAAGACCGCACCATCATCACTACTGGTGTGGGTCAGCATCAGATGTGGGCTGCCCAGCACTTCCGTTGGCGCCATCCCCGTACCATGATTACCTCTGGTGGTCTCGGTACCATGGGATACGGCCTTCCTGCTGCTATCGGCGCCAAGGTTGCACGCCCCGATTGCCTTGTCATTGATATCGACGGTGACGCTTCGTTCAATATGACTCTTACTGAACTTACCACGGCTGCTCAGTTCAACATCGGTGTCAAGGTCCTCCTCTTGAACAACGAAGAACAGGGCATGGTGACACAGTGGCAGAACCTGTTTTACGAGGACCGGTACTCGCACACCCACCAGAAGAACCCGGACTTTGTGCCCATGGCTCGGTCTATGGGTGTCGCTGCTGAGCGCTGCACTAAGCCTTCCGAGGTTGAGGAGAAGCTGAAGTGGCTGATCGAAACTGATGGTCCTGCTCTACTTGAGGTCTTCACTGACCGCAAGGTGCCCGTGCTCCCCATGGTTCCCGCTGGTAGCGCCCTGCACGAGTTCCTGGTCTATGATGAAGCCAAGGAGAAGGAGAGAAAGACCCTGCTGAGGAGTAGAACCGCCCCCGAGTACCTTCACAAGTGATCATGCAGACGCTTTCGGCATTGCAACATTGCTTACTGATCTTTCATCTTTCTCTTGATATCCATGGCGTTTCTGGCGGGTTCTAAAACGCAACTGGGGCGGAGATGTATGCTTAAAAAGCTATCCAGCCTCTCACACGAAGTCTTCTTCCCGATGAAAGTGGGAAACGATCATAAGGGGGGACTCAAAAGTGACACTCTATTCGGTCCATTTTTCTTAACAGTCCCTTCTTTTTCATGTTCTCTTGGCATGTCAATTGTAGTCTTGCGAAAAATCTGCCGTGGTTCCTGTCGCACATTAGCTTGTATATAATGCACATTATCGTTACTTCTTTCAAAGGTTACTTAGGTTGGATATCTTCCATGTATGTCTTAGGGAAGAATGGGCAAAACGATGATTGATATCACAGACTGTCTCCGAAGATTTGAAATAAGGAATAACTTGTCTACATCTGTGAACAGACAGACAGTCCATACTGCTCTGCTAAGTCTACGAGTGGTCCAGAGTATTGGGACAACAGTCTGCGTACGTTGTGCCTGGGCACAGTAACTTATTCTCTCATTCTCTCATTGAGAGTAACCCGATGATCCCAATAAGATGATAATAAAGGCACGTGGCTCGTTATGCTACCATATCCGCCATCTGTGAGGTGATCGCGTGCAGTAAGATGCCTATCGTCACGTGATACTTCCGACGTCGGTGATTCCTGAGGCCATCAAAGTCAAGTCCTTGACAGCCGCGGTCCGTATCCGAGGAAGCGGTAGACTGATTCCGCCCTCTGATTGACGAGAGAGTGATGAATAAACTATCTCCCCTCTTCCCATCATCATCATCATCACCAGTCCTGTACTTCGGTTTGTGACTCAGCTTCGGCCTCGATTTGCACGATGCCAGGCACGTATCTCATCTTCTAGAATTACGGATTTCCATTCTTCCCTTTTGCTCGACCGTCTTCTTCACCACCCTCTGTCGCAACCATGGCTTCTGTCCCCGGATATCCCGCCACTACTGGCAGAGCTCGATCATCGGACGCCACATCAGTTCGAGACGAGACTACCGCAAGCGCAGACAGAAGCAGTTTTACAAGCGCCTCACCCGCAGAATCCATGGAGGACAACGAGACAGTTCTACTAAACAAACCACTTGCATCCAGCGAGGATGCGTCAGGGAACAACGACGACACTGCCGCCTCTGACACCGCCACCACCAGCAAATCTCCTGTCCCGAGCTCGACCGCCGCTGAGACCTTGAATGAAGAACCGCGCAAGTGCTGGATCTGTTACACTGACGAGACGGAAGATTCCCCCTTGAATTCCGAATGGCGCTCGCCTTGTCCCTGCGCCCTGACCGCTCATGAGGCTTGCCTTTTGGACTGGCTCGCTGATCTCGAAAACCCTCGATCCCGCAAACGCAACGGTCACGGAGCCAAGATGGTGTGTCCGCAGTGTAAAGCGGAAATTGTGGTCTCTCGTCCACGAAGCTATATCGTTGACGTTGTTCGGATGTTCGAGCGGCTTGCCGGACGGTTGGTTCTACCGGGTATGGTGTTTACTCTGGCGGGTACCGTTTGGGCGGGATGCTGTGCACACGGCGTCTATTCGATGTATTTTGTTTTTGGGACCGAGGAAGCGAGACAAATTTTGGAAGAGACAGCGGATGGCACATGGAACTCGGGTTTGAATCTAGGGTTACCACTGATTCCGCTCGTGCTCATCTTCTCACGGACTCGCTATGCCGAGGGTCTTCTACCTGCCATCCCAGTCCTGTTCTTCGCGACGCATAACCCGGGCCAAGAGCTCGACCTTGACCTGTGGCCACCTAGTGCTGCTATGACATTTGCTGCGCTTCCCTATGTGAAAAGCTTCTACAGTGCAGTCTATCAAAGATTATTCGGCAAGCTGGAAAGGAAGTGGATTGCCGAGGTGCAACCGCGCCAAGCAGATATCAACGAGTTTGATGATAATGCGCCACCTGAGCATCCGGAGGGAAGAAACGATGCTGAGAATGGCCAGATATTGATGGAAATTGATCTGGAGTTCCAAGTTGGAATGGGTAATGATGTACGTCAGGGTGTTCTAGGTCTCCATGCCGGAGAAGACGCCCAGAACAACGGGCAAAACCAAGGTGACGGGCAAAATGGAAATAATCTGGGACTAGGACGGCGAGACGACCTCATACATGAAACAAGCAACCTTGCCGATATCATTCTCGGAGCTCTCGCATTTCCAGCGATTTCGGCATCCATGGGAGGTCTGCTCAAGTATATTCTCCCCAGGTCGTGGACAAGCGCACCGTCAGCCTTGGAGCGCGGCCGACCTGGTCTGCTGCAGACACGGTGGGGACGAAGTGTCATCGGAGGGTGCGTGTTTGTGCTGCTGAAGGATGCATTGGTACTATACTGCCGCTGGAAGCTTGCACAGACACACAGGAAACGGAAGGTGCTGAATTACGACCGGAAGAAGAAGAAAGTCGTGGACCACTGAGGTGGCGTTTTTCGGATTTTTCAAAACATTGACACTATCGCTTTGTGCTTTCCCTACTCTCATGACTACGGATGTGACGACGATGCATTTCACTGGCGTTGGTTGGGATTACCCTGGAGGATTTAGTCTACTCTCTCTACAACTCGGATCTTTAACGGATGCCAAGGTTTTTCTTAAGATTTTGGAGTTTTAGATTCCCACATAGTAGGCACCTCAATGGCATTTGTTGCAGGCGATATCAAGAACTACGAACTATATAATCAATTCAATACAATGGCACAAGTTATATTATACAGGAGATTGAATCAATCTCGACCGTACATGGATAAATAACAGTAGTTGGTAGAGTTAGGTCTGAATAGGCGCGCGGCTAATCAAACTTTCCGCCGCCGTTCCCCAAAAACCAAAATGCCGTCCATCACTTCCACCAGCCCATCTACCTCTCGCAATCCAAAACCCACCACGTACAATGCGACCCCTCTCCCCCGTCCTCGCCTCCCTGGCGAACGTCTTCAGAATCCCTCTCTCCAAAACCCCCGCCCGACCAGCCATCAGCCGGCTCAGCAACGACCTCTTAATATGCAAACCCACCGCTCCTGTTCAACCCGCAGCAGCAGCAGTAACAGCAGCCTTCGGGACCCGGACCTTCTCAACAACAAGCGCCCTGCTGAAACGCAGCAAAAATGCTCCCCGTGGCGATAAAAGAATTAGTAAGTTCTTCTTCCCCTGGGAGTTTTCCGCACGAACCACGCCTAGCTCGACAGGCACCGACGGGAACCAGAAATGGGAATTGATGCAATGCCGTTACTAACGTCTCACAGCGCTAATCCGCTACTTCCTCTGGCACCCACTCACCCCCCGACCCCTCCGCTTCTCGCGAACCCGCTACCTCCGGCACTGGACCATCCACCGCGCCTGGCAACTGTACCAAGCGCAGCAGCGCCGCGCGAGACAGCTCGAGCTGCAGCGCCAGTGGCAGGCGATGTACGCCGCGTGCGAGGAGCTCCGCACGGGCGCCGGGGATGGAGGCAAGCTGTTCCGGATCTCGATGAATAAGCGCGGGGTGTATAGGGCTATGTTTCCGATCGAGTACGGGCGGATGCAGACCGAGGGCCCGAGTAAGGAGGGGTGGAATCATGAGTGGAAGCGCATGGAGAAGAAATACTAGTATGTCCTTTTCTACATTGGTGGGCGGTCAATGGAAAGGATGGTTTCGGAATCGGTGATTTGCTGAGTCCATTTGTAAGTATTGGCATGTACTATAGGTCATTTTGTTCTGAGTGGTTAGTTTCATGGATATTTGGTTTGCCGATATAGACTGTTTAAAGCCAATAACTACATTATGCAATTTTTGCCCTCGCTCTTGCTCAGGTTGGACACAAGCATGACGTACAGCCGGAATTGACATCAGCATGTTCAGTATGTGTCAAAATGCTGGATATAAGACATAGATGAAGTGCAAAAGACGCTAGACAGCATCAGAAAGGGAATGAATATAAGAAGTATAAAAGAAAGAAGTAAAGTGAGCCGCAGGGAGAATCATAACGGGACAAAGCGCTCCAAAGTCGAGAAGGAAGTATACCAAAGGAGGGGAATCCGGAGAGCAAGTGTTCATGTAAAGGAGAGTGTGAGCAGGAAGATATACCTTAGGGAAGACAACGCAAAAGGAAAATATTAACAGATAACCTCCCAAACGCCAGTAATGCAAGATGCGATGATCAGTCAACGACCACCAAATGATCCTTCTCTGCTCCTTCTTTTGCAATAAAAACTGAATCGATGAGTCCGTGGCAGCTAGGGTCGTATTACCATCGGATGTCATAGCACGATGCAACATGAGGTCTTCCGCTTATCGAATGTAAGAAGGGCGGCTCGCGTAGCGGCTTCGAAAACGTCGTCTACTCCTTCCCCTGTCAACGATGAGCATTCAAGGTACTTCCTGGCACCGATTTGCGTGGCAGTTTCGCTTCCTTCTCTGGATGTGACGAAGCGTAGGGACTTCTTCCGCATTTCTTCAATCGCCAGAGGATCCTCGCGCAAGTCTTTCTTTAATCCGACAAGTATGATAGGTACGCCGGGACATCGCTCGTTTGCTTCCTCAATCCACTGCGGAGGGAACTAGTGAGTTGACCAGTAACGAAATTTGGCGGATCCCAACATGGACGAACCTTGTGCTTTACGTTTTCCAAAGAATCTGGCGTATCCACAGCAAAGCCTATCAGAATGACGTGCGCTTTGGAGTATGCAAGTGGTCGCAATCTTTCATAGTCTTCTTGACCTGCAGTATCCCACAAGGCCAGCTGAACAGATCGACCATCAACCCTGCAATCCGTAACATAGTTCTCGAATACTGTGGGAACCTGGTGATTTTGTCAGAAGCTGTATTCTTGTCGAAAGGGAAGCGCATTAGGGATGTATGAGTACTAACATAGTGCTGGAAATGGAACACATTAGCTGTCACAGCTCACAAACCAGTAGCAAATTTTGAGATAACATCCGAATGAGGGCACTCACAGTTGGGAAATAACCAAGCGTAAATACACTCAGTAAACTGGTCTTCCCGCAAGCACCATCCCCAATAATAACCAGCTTTCTGCATTGAGTATGAGATCAGCATATTGTGCCATTGAGAGAATGTCAAACCGAGATTCAAAGCTTGCTTCCTCCAAAGCAGGACAAGGATGGTGCAACTAACGAGGCCGGAAACCGCCTGTATTGACCTGGACGTGGTCCACAGAGATCCACCCCGACAACCAGAAGGGGTCTTGTACATACCTCCGCATCACATTGTCATTCTGTTGTTGAGCCATTGTTCCTCACGAATGACCGAGAGACCACGGCTCCCTTTGAAGAGGAGAGTGTGAAAGAAATTCGAGCGAAGGTATCGAGATGGGGAAACGACAAGGGGAGGGCGCTGTTCACTGTTCAGCCCCGGCTGATATCGAAACAACGGAATCAGGCAACCGTAAGATCTGACCGTAATACTGAATGACTGGACGGTTTGCGGCGAAACGAATGGAAGAAGGTGATAAATTGCTTCTTCTGATAGAAAATAATACCCCTCCCCCTAAATCGCTGAGGGACAGGAAGGACGATAACGAGTTTGAGGATTAGTCGTCCTGGAAGGCGGTCGAGGTGAGGCTGATGGACTTTTAAGTCAATTGATGATCGACCAACACGGGTGAAGTGGGAGAAGTTTACCACTTTCCCTTCTGGCGGAGGTGTCTTGGTAATACCAGTCTGGTTTCAAAAGTACCTTACCGATGGTAAGGTATATAGTACAGTACAGATCGTTACCTAGGTAGCCAAGAGGGTACCTTTGATTATTCCGCAGACCCCGAACTACGGAAAGAGGGAGCAAGATGATGCAGATGACAATAAGAACAAATATCAAGAGTCACGAGAAGACAAGGAATAAGGGCTTTTAAATATTACGAAAGTAGCCCGCCAAAAGCCTAGCCGATTCATAAAGTGCTAATCAAAGCAAAGGATGGGATCGACCAGTAGTTGGCACAGCTGAAGAGACCCCATGGGCCATTTCTTCCCACAAATAATGGCATTATTAAAGAATTGTCTCAAACGGCCTACACTAGGTGCTATATAATTTCCCATTCGAACTATGATTGTTGTTATAAATGGATGCATGTGGAGAAGAAAGATGAGACGGGAGAAGTAAATAATAACTAATATGCGCATGGACTATAGATAGAGCTACCTAGATAGAGTCTAGAGCAAAGAGGGGATTGGTCTTGACGACAATGCACAATAAAAATAATACCAGGACATCGGCCAGCCCGGTATCTAGTCAAGATACCTATCAAAGGAACAACATGGACAATTGCTGATGCATTTGACAGTCGCGAAGATTGTTCCAGAATGATTTCAAGACTTTCCTTGCTTTATAATGCTTAGGTTAGTATGCCATATGTCACTTAAATTACAAGGCCTTGCTTCTAGCCTGTCTGCAAATTTGTCGTAGACTGGAACCTAAGTACTTTATCTGATTTCATCTGCTTGGGTACCTTACGGTATATCCAAGGCGGTAGGTATCTTACCTTTATTCATATACTTGTATTCTTGTAAACGGATGGAGAGAGAGGCATTATTGTAAAGGATACCTTAGGCACAATAATGTATGCCCAAATCCTCAGGCCTCCATCTCGCTTGCGGCGGCTATCCAGCCAGCGGCACGCCAGCCATCCAATCCAGACGGCGTCAAGATCCACCATCCAAAGCCCATCAATCATTCATCTCCATTCTCCAGTGGCAGCCAGCCTTTCAAACCCCATCCCGCTCTGGCTGCGCTTGTTCGTTCCCCAACTCCCACCTAGATCCTAATACTTATCGAGATCCCCTCCTTGAAACCCCGGAGCGACCTCCAATACGGAGTATATTCTTCAGTCGCCTAGCTTGGACATTGCCCGCCTCCCCTGCGTGCGGCCAAAGGGTTCTCTTCCACCCCTCTTCCGCCCTCATAAATCCCCATTTTGTCCGCCCAGGATCTCCTCCTCTCTTTATCCTAACTCTCCACCTCTCACTCGCAAGTGTCCCACGCTTGATAGAGAGTACTGACATCGGATATCCTCTTCTTTCAGCTCTGTTGGTCGCAATTTACTCCACTTACTGCTCGCCAGTCAGCTCTTCCTGTGCTCGGCGGTACTCTACCCTTGCTGATCTTGTTGTAGCAAGGCTTTTGGTTTTGGAAGTGGAAGTATCAAGGATACCTAGGGTTTTACACCCTCTTCACCTCTCGACGATCTTGTGCCTCTCCGGGAGCGGATATCTTTGCGAACTCGTTCTTCATGGCTCCTGCGCCGCATACTCAACATTCTCCAAACTCCACAATGCCGAACAGTTCGTCAACGACTGCTCATTCAGCGCCCACCACAAATGGTGACGTTCATGCGCCGAAAGACCATCACCTTTCTTCTCCGTCAGACACAGTCTCCACACCAGCAAACCGGAAGAAGCAGAAACGCAGACAAAAACAGGCAGCTCGCCTAGCCGATCCTCAACCAGCAAACGAAGATGTATCGACAGATGACGCTACTCAGAACGGATCCAGCCACGCTAATCCAGAACATTATCATTCCGACGATGGTGACGCGGACGGATCCGACCACGAACAGCCCACGAACGGTGACGCATATCATAAGGATGGTCAGGATTCGGTGGACGCGCACGTTGATTCACAAAATCCTCAAGGGAGCAACGGCACGGAGAGCTCTCAGAAATCGACAGGCCGCAAATCGAAGAAAAAGAAAGGGAAAAAAGCGCGTAATGGTTCTCAAGCGCAAGGAGACGAAACCTCGACTCCCATGTCCACCCCTTCCGTTTCTATGTCACACCCTCTTCCGCCGCCTCTCCCCTCACATCTCGCGTCTCATAATATTCTGAAGCCGGCCAAAAATCGCAGTATTTGGAATACATCTACTCAGGAGGAACGAGAGAATATTAAGACGTTCTGGCTAGAGCTGGGAGAAGAGGAGCGTCGGCAGCTTGTCAAGGTGGAAAAGGATGCCGTTCTGAAAAAGATGAAGGAGCAACAACGCCATTCGTGCAGTTGTACGGTATGTGGGCGAAAGCGAACCGCCATCGAGGAGGAGCTCGAGGTACTCTACGATGCTTACTACGAAGAGCTTGAACAATACGCCAATCACAATCAAGGATCGTTTGAAAATGGCTCCCCTATGGTACCCCCTCCACGGTTGTACCAGCCTCCACTAAGATCTCCCGGTCAACATACCCGAACGCAAGGCCAATTCCATCCTTCACGAGGTCGCATTCATGAACTGACAGAGGAAGATGATGATTTGGAGGAGGACTACGATGAGGAGGAGGAGGAGGATGGGGATGAGCCTTACAGTGATGAAGACCTTGACGAAGAAGACGAGGAAACTCGTGCAGCTCGCGCAGATTTCTTTGCCTTCGGCAATAGCTTGACTGTTAAAGGTAAGGCTGATGTGCCGCCAGCTATCGAAACATTCCAACGAAACCTGTACTGATTTCTTGCTTTCTTCCCTCGCTCTCCGAGATAGATGGTATTCTTACAGTTGCAGACGATTTACTGAAGAATGATGGGAAACACTTCATCGACATGATGGAGCAGTTGGCCGAACGTCGAATGCAACGCGAAGAAGATACCCAGTACGGCATAGCTGCTGCGCACGAATCCCTTCATAGCGGTCACAATCATGGTCCATTCGACGACGAAGATTACGACGACGAGGAAGACGAGGACTATGACAGTCAAGAGGAAGAGGATTACGAGGAAGATGAAATGGTCTGCCCTGGAGTTGTTCCCCCCTTTCGTGGTTTCGGCCACTATTCTTAGTTCACTGCTAACCTCTACTTCAGGATGCCATGACAGAAGAACAACGCATGGAAGAAGGCCGACGAATGTTTCAAATATTTGCGGCCCGAATGTTCGAGCAACGCGTCCTGACGGCATACCGAGAAAAGGTCGCCGAGCAACGGCAACAGAAGTTGATCGAAGAACTCATGGAAGAGGAGACTCGGAACGAACAGCGGAATGCTAAAAAAGCCCGGGAAGCACAGAAACGGAAGGACAAGAAGAGACTTCAGAAACAGGCCAAGGAAGAGGAACGCGCGCGCCGGGAAGCGGAGAAGGCTGCAGAGGAAGCAGCTGCCAAAGCGGAACAGGAGAAGAAACTCGAGGAACAGCGAAAGAAACGGGAGGAGCAGCGGAAGAAGAAAGAAGCAGAACGGAAGGCCCAAGAAGAGGAGCGTGCGCGGAAGGAGGCCGAAAAGCTTCGACGGCAGCGTGAGGAACGAGAGCGACAGGCCGAAGCGGAGCGGAAGCAGCGCGAGGAGAAGAAACGACGCGAAGAGGCCCGGCGGAAAGAAAAAGAAGAGCGCGAATTGCGGGAAAAGAAGGCAAAGGAAGAGCGCGACCGCAAGGCTCAGGAGGAACAAGCCAAGAAGGATAGAGCAAGGGGCGGAGAGGAAGCCAAAGATCAGGAGAAGCGTGATGATCAAGGCAAATGGCCGTCGCAACAGGGACCTGTCCCTATTCCGTCGAATTTGCATCATCTTCAGGGCTTTTCTCCGGCTGTCGCTCATTCGCCTCACGTCCCGTCCGCGACACCTGTGTTACCTAAAGCTCCTACTCCTGCCAGACCCCGTCAGCCATCCCAACAAGACTCCCATTCCTCCTCGCCACACTCCCAAGCCCCTAGCACCGACCCATCGCAGGCCTCCCTTTCTCCTCGTTCGATGCCCGTGTCTCAGTCGTCGGCAGTTGCCAGTGGAAATTCGCAGCAAGGCCCCGGACTGCATGCAATGCTGCATCAATCTCAGCCTTCTACCCCGTTGTCTCCCCTAGGCAGATCCGTTCCTCCTGGATTCTCGAGCGTCAACGGAATACCACCTAACCCCCCGGGCTTGTCTGGAATGGTCGCGCGACCACC